ATTCATGGTTGCTCTAGGGCAGGGTTCTTCAACTCTGGACCTCGATTCCAAATCCAGGCCGTGTTTTCAGTTCTCCCAGGTAGTTGTTTAATAATTACTGATTCTGATTGGTCAGAGGCTTCACACCTGACTGACAGGTAAAGGAAGGCTGGAAAACCAGCAGTGTTTGGACCTCGAGGACCGTGAGTTGAATAACCCTGGACTATGGTCTTCAGTCAAGTTCCAAGTGCCCACAGTAAATCAGCTGGGTTTGGTCTTTCCTAAAAGGGTGCAGCCCTGGTACAGTTTTGTTCTCCAAGGGACAAATGGCACTGAAGTCTCCCCCAATGGTATAAAATGTTCCCCAGAATTCATTTCTGTACCTTAAAAGGTGCATTAATTTACAGCTGGGGTACAATTGGCACAGCCCTATGACATGCAATTGTACCCTCAAAAGGTATAAATTGGTACTTCCTCCCCCCCTGACAGTGTAATCCCAATCCGCACAGCTGATCCTATGTTAGCACTTTTTTGGCTGGAGACTCCGGGCCGGTGCTGCTGACCTTCGGGAAGCGTACTCTGGAACGCCACGGCACTCCAAGGGCTGGCCAGCTGCTCTACGTGGAGTCGCACAGCAAACTCATACTTTGTGTTGGACTCTAACCCACGGATGAGCAGGCCCCGCTCTGTACTGTTTGGGGGCAGGGGGGGGGAGGGTAAAGCATTAGTGATGCGCAGTAACCTCACGCTCATGCATTTTGCAGCGAGATTGCTGCATTTAACACTGCAGCACAGCCTGCAGAGCATGCACATACATACACACGCACACACACAAACACCGCCAATGCACTCTTGGTAGTAAAGCTTCAAGCTGCAGGTTCCAATTCCTGTTTCTCTACCATTATTACATCACTCAACTTCCTGTATAGATCCGTAGATTAGCTAGACAGAAAACAACTAGAGCAATGCTGTTTGACCTGGCCGTAAGCAGCGATTCTGCCGGGCTCTGCGTGGGTCTATGATGGTGACAGGGGCGTCACACTCACGTCTGCAGGTAGAGCACCAGCGAGGCGTTCTGCAAGCCGACGGGGTGACAGCGAACCGTGTAGCTTACGGCCTGTCCCACGGTGAAGGCGGGGGGGTCCCACCGCAGATATACCGCTGTCGAGCTGTTGGCCGTGGCATGCAGGCGATGGGGGGGCGGAGGGGGCGGTACCATGCGATCGCGGACCGCTAATAAAACAAAGAGTATCACTTAAATCAATAATAAAGACCAACACCTGGAAAACAATGTCAATAAATTAGAATTAATTTGGGTGTCTGTCCTTATAAGCAGAGGTGAAAAGTTCAGGTCCAGAAAAGCACAAATCCAGGCCAAGGTTCTGTTTCAACGAACTGGCTGATCATAAGCAGTTGTATTAGGATGAACTCGCGGATGATTACGTCTCTCATGTAGTATGTAAATAGCTTAGATGAATTGACTACTTAAAATTCAGATACATCGTCCATGATTCACCCATAATATTATTGTGCCAAGGTTGAACTGTATAAATGTGTTTTTTACTGATCATTTGTATAACTTATTTTTTCATGAGTAACTTGTTTCTTATAAAAGGGGCCTGGATGCTCTGATAGTCATAAAAATTACTGTCCTGGGAAACTTATTCTGTTTAAAGACACTTATCCTGTTTTTTCTAACTTATGGGATGCTTAAGCTGTTAAAAAGAAGCTCACCTTGTGATTCTCTAAGGGCTTCTTCCTGAGGGGGAGAATAAGTGGTTCCATATGTTGCACTGGCAAGATGCTTATCTCGTCCTTAAGGAAAGGGGAGGATCGGTATGCGGGACACTTATCTTGTCTTCAGGAAACAGAGGATCTTATCTTGTTTAGCAGGGTCGGGAAGGCATTAAGCAAGCAGTATTACCCGGGCGGAAGTGGGAATCGGAGAATGCATTGCGTGGGGGAGGGGGTGAGCCTGGCCAGCTTGTCCCCTGCCCGCACGCAGCACCCAATTTAGTATAAGAAGGGGCGAAAACTCAGTACTGACTGGAGCTCAGCCTTGGGATAGAGCGCGCATCGCCTGGCACTTTCTCGGAACTCACGTGTTGGCCTCCTGCCAGGACTGAAAGGGCTCCCCGGTCCATGTGTGAAGGTGGGTGATGAGGGCACGTCCGAGTGTAAATAGCTTTGCAACTGCTTATGCCTTTCATTGATTCTTGCGAGTAAATATCACCGCTTGTGATAATATTTCGTAACTTCTTTTGTGTTTCCTTGCTTCTTTTATGTTTTATTGCTTATTTTCTACATATATATTGGTATCTTTGCCTCTACTATTATTAGCTATAATATATATATTATTTGATACCCATTGTAGTACGAGGTTATTTTGCATTGCTTTCGATATGGTAGCTTGGTATTGATGTAAATGCGAGATTATTTTGTATTTCTTATTAAAGTGTTTTTGAGTGAACCTAAGTGTGCCTGTTTGTTCCTTCGAGAGCCCGATATCCCTCTCACATCCATTTTAATACAGGAGTCACAGTCAGAGAACTCAACTTTTGTACCTGAACTTTCCACATCTGCTAATAAGTTAATTTGATTAAACAGGCATCATTAGCAAAATCAGGCTGGATATGAGGGTGGGCTTACAGACGCATCCGGGTGTGCTGGCTGTCTGGTCCGCCTGGTAGCCGTCTCCTGCGATACTGTAGGCCAGCAGCTTAATGTGGTACTTCCTCCTTGGGTCTGTAAGGAAAAACAATCAAAAAGCATATTTCTATGTATTCAATTTTGCAGGAAAAGTCAACTTTGGAAAATTCATTTTTGAATTAAATTTTTTCCCTTGTTATTATGCAGAATCGATCAGATTAGCTTATCTAGGACGATTGCGTTAGCAGGCATTTCATGAAATGCTTATTTAAACAGCTCCGTATTTCCCCATACAATTGCAGAAAAGTGTCTGTCTTGGCACTTAATCACACCGTTTATTTAAACCCAAGTCCCTTGTGAGCGCAAATTTGGCTCAACACTTCCACCTAGTGTTTAAAAGCATAACAGATTTCCCATTGCCTTTACTGTGCTTAGTGGGTACAGCAGAGGTTAGGTGAGGGTGGTCAGTGGGTGGTGTGACAGATGTGAAGCTGCCCCCCCAACACAGAGAGCCTCTCCATCCATCATACTGTCATTCTGCTTTTTGGTAGCATAAAAAGTGGGGTGCTCGGCTGTGCAGAGGACAGTCAACCGGGGGGGTTTGGAAGTGGACAAAGGCCTCCCTGAAAGAAAGAGGGGGGGGTGGGTCAAACTGACTAGAGGCACTGACCTGAGAGCCACAAGCAGCCAGAGGAGAGGGAACAAAGACCACCTGCTCCGTCTTTGAGAAGCGGGGTTAGAACCCAAACCCACCAGGCGCAGCACACTCACACCCAGGACTCTGCTACGTTCAGTGTGAAGCAACCTGAACGATACTGCAAGTGTGCTCAGTACAGAAAGGTGCCTCTGAGCTTTTATTAATGCCTATAATGCAGCCCACAAGCATTACAGAGAAACACGGCATCAGTGTTCAGCAGGAAGCTTGAGGAATCCGTTCCACAGAAAAAACACTGAACAATTTCAGCTGTAGGTGGAATGAAGAGCGACTTCTGTGAATGGACCGGAGGCACAGAACATCAGTATGATACTGAAAAGAAACCCTCAGTTGACACGACAAACATTTTCCAGTCACCTCTCTCTAACGATCTACTGAATGCATATTTACAAAGAGAAATTCAATGGAATGGATTCATGGAACGAACATACGTGTCTTGGATTACCTGTCAGGTGAACAAGGTCAATCTTATAGGTGACACAGACACCTGCCAACTCACCAGCCATGTAGAAGAAGCCATCAGAAAAGATACCCACCAGGCCATCGCATGGCTGGGGTGCTACATTGGCTCACGCTCATCATGTGCGCCTCCTCGCTAATGCAAACAGCCTGCTCTTACAGACACTGAGCCCTGAGTGCAGACAGACAGGTTGGAGAGGTGCGGTTACACTGCAGCTTAGCGTTCCAATGGCTAAGATGCATGATGAGGGATTTTTAATGTGGTGTGACAGGCTGGTGGTTCCAGCAGCTCAGAAAGAGCCCTCAAGGCATTTTCACACACTACGCCAGCTATAGTTTACAGAGAACGGGTGTATTGAACAAAATGCATTCAGTTAGCAGCAGTCATGTGGGTGAAAAAACCCTTTTAATGCGAGCGATCAGAGGCGAATGGCCAGACAGGAGGGTCACAAACGTAAGAACAACAACTCAGGACCACAGCGATTTTCAGAGAGGCATCTCTAAATGCCCTCGTCTAGCCTGGAAGCCAGTGCCGGCTAATAAAGTCTAAAACGTGAGAAAAGGGTCACCAGTATAAAGGAGGATGAGAAGGGAGCAGGGGTGATTTTTAAGGAGGGGCTAGGGCTGGGGAGGGCAGGATAAGGGAGTTTCTGTTGCTGGGAGCTCAGACACGAGCAGCTTTAGTGGAGCCAGATGGATGACATGAGGCCGGACTGAGAAAGGAGCAGAGGTCAGGGACAGACACGGGATAAGGACAGCGGAACCGAGCCCACAGCCCCTACCCCCCCACCCACACCCTACAGCCCCTACCCCCCCACCCACACCCTACTGAACCCCATCCCCCTCTACCTCCCACCCCTACCCGCACCCTCAGGTTAGCTATGAAAAACAACACGTGCACAGAGCACACTGTTCCCTCAGGTTAAAAGATCAGATGGACTGATAACTGATCTGTAAATCTTAAAAATGCCTTCAGAACCTTTCACACAGCAGAACGGCTGCTGCTATCCATCTGCGGCCGTGATGTTTTTCACTCTGAATCATTCTGATCAGTCTTGTGCTGAAGGTGAAGCTTCCGGTTGCCAGGCTAATTACGGCATTTTAGTTTTCAGTCTGTCCAGATTTGGCTGGCTGCCGCACCCCCCCCCCCGGTCAAAGTGTTCATCTGAATGGCACTGAAGACGGTCCCACAGCCTCCGCTGCAGACCAGGCCAAAGCACAATAGCCTAGGGTAATTAAGCAGGAAGGGGAGTTAGAGTGGGGGGGGGGTTGACATCTGGGACGTGACATTTGACATGGAATCCATGCAGGCTGTGTGCTGCACCCAGGCTACTCCTGGCCTTGGGGGAGGAGAACTGCAGCAGAAAGATACTCAACAACAGGAGACACAAGTGATTGAGCCACATCACAGTCACTCTGCCTCTGCTCGTCTCCACGAGAGGCACCGGACTCCAGTCCTACAGCTTTCAGGAACACCACCTCTCACGTGATCTTAAAACTGGGAACTCTCATGGGGAACAAGGGAAAGACATCAAACTTCAATGAAATTCCTTGTAAATTCCGTGTGATGTCACATCAAAACGGCAATAAAATGTGATGCATTTCTAATGTAAATATATGAATTCTGAGGATCTGCTTATATTCAATCCAAATGGTTACATGGATAGATATGCAAATGGACTCACTGACACTAAGCTTATTCATGCACTGAGGCATTTTGTTTGCCAAAATAATGCTAGAATTGTCCATATATTTATCAGGGGTGCAACAGTACCGTTCAGTACGCACACGTGAATGTCAATATGCACACGTGAACCGTGGTATTACGATACGCCTCATATCCATATACGTACTGAGCAATACGATGTTGCGTGAACAGTGATCTGTCTGCACTTCCTGTGTGCCGGTTGCCTGTGGCTGCTTTTTAACGCCGATACACTTCGTATGTTTTCTAGTCAAATAGAAACAAAACACCTGCAGGTTATCAAAGTTAAGAAGCACTTTCAACATTTTTCTCTCCTTGATTTCATACAGCGGAGCGATAACCTATGCCTAGTTAGTCATGCCCCCATTTTGCTGAATAGAGAGATGTTATATGGAAAAAATAGAGCTAATATTTTTATTTTCTTCTTGAATATAAAGATGCCGAAACCATACCTTTACCACGGCCCAACAACCGTGATACATACCGAACCGTAGGAAAACTGTATGGTTACACCCCTAAAAATATATAGAATTTCTAATATATTACACACACACACACACACACACACACTGTTAAAACCCATTAAAAAAAAATTTAAAAACCAGATGAATGAAGTGAAACGGTTTGGTTTTGGCCATGAATCAGGGTGCCCTGCTTGTGTCCGAGGGGACAGCTGGTTGTGGTCACCTGATTTATGTGGCACTTATGTAGGAGCACATAGACAGGCTGTGTATGAAAGTGAGGACACACTAGCGATTCTCCCTCCCTGGCTCAGATACGGCCAGCAGAACCCGGATGCCTCTCCCTCCCTGGCCCAGGTACGGTGAGCAGCCCCGCTGTGATGTCTGTGGGCACCAGGGCTAAAGGCTGGTCAGTCTGAAGGATAAATGTCCCTGCGCACTGCCCGAAAGGGACTCCCAAGGGTCACGACCACACATCCACATTCTCCTCTCCCCACAATTCACGAAAGGGCACAACATTAGAAAAGTCAAGGACAAATTTGTGGGGAGCAGCGTATCACTGTTTTTCTTTTTTTTTGCCAAGGGGTACCCCCCTAGGGTCCCGTACGAATGCCTTTGATGCAGGAGGATCTGGAACGGGCCGAATTGCCCATGGTTGTAAAACAAGCCGTAAGGCTCGACTGTCCTGTCTTCCGAAAGAGGGGCCCCATAACTCACTGTCTCTGTCCGTCGCTTTCCTTTATGAAACACGAGCTTGTGCTCTATCGCGCCCATGGGGCTTGGGGCCCGGTTGGGGCCCGGACAAAAACAAGGCCTCGCATCGCATTCCCTCAACCACCAACTCAACACCAACAATTCCTCAGCACCAACAATCACACAAGTCAGCCACGTTTCTTTTAAAATTTTGCCAGCAGCAGAAGTCTGGCATCTCTACCCCCCCTATTAAGAATGTTTGTAGCTGGGGCCAAAACAACAACAATATTGGGAAACCTCAAAATAAAATCCTACAAAAGAGCAAGAATATACCTCACAATGTCAGACACAATAAAACATGTTGACTAGCATCCATGATTGCCCCCCCCCAAAAAAAATGGGAAGAAGATCAATGTCACCCAACCCACATACATATCGACTGCTCAACATCGGACTGGCTTTTGGAGGGCAGGATCTGGGGCTGCATGACCATCTTCCGCTCCCATAGCCACCGAAAATGCATCAGACCACAATGGTCACATGGGACCCCCCGGCCCGCCCCCCGTTCATTTCACCCAAGGCCTCATTCTCAGGCAACTGGGGCACGATTCTAATGGTGGTTCAAAGGTCGCAATCTCTGAGCACCAGGGTGGGGCAGGGAACCCCTGTATACTGAGACTGAGGTCCCAGGAATGGTCAATACCCGAACGACACACTCAATCACGCCATGGCCTCTCTCTCAATGGGTGCCCTTTGTCAGGGACTGCCTTGTCCTGTGTGAACGTGGGTGAGCTCTTTGTCTGTGAAACACAAACGATTGCAGGGTGACGAGTTTGTTCCTAAACCCAATAGTGATGTAGGCCATCAGCCGTCGCTGTGCAGAGATTAACATTTCAAACAGAATCTTTCCTTCTTCACGCAAATCTCTTTAATGCCTGCCACATAAACTCGATTCATCACCAAAGCTTAATGTGAGCAAACGGACATGTGACTATCACCCGGGTACTTAGACATCTTGGAAAGTCTGCCTTCTGTAATCCATCTACCATTATAACTTATATGATTAACATTGTAACATACGTATACTGCTTTACAGAACCAACTTAGTGACTGTACGATGCCAGCGGCCATTCGGGGGTGACTGAGTCCGTGACTTACCCAGGCCCTCAATGGTGTACTGGGAGTCCTGGGCCCGCAGCTGGACGGGGGGGCCGGCGGTCTGGCCCTCCTGGCGGTATGAGAGCCAGAAGCCCAGCACACGGGCCGCGTCCCCGGCATGGGGCTGCCAGCGCAGCAGCATAGTGGTGCAGTTCAGCGGCTCCAGCTGCAGCAGGGGGGCCAGGGGCACTGGGGGGGGCAGTGAGGCTCACGGTTAGACTGATATCATTACAAAGACACTAATCAAGGCGACCCAATAGGATTCCCCGCCTGGCTGGAAGACTCAGGGCCCACCCACATGGCCTTCGGCACTCACCGGGCAGCTGAGTTTAGTCAGCCATACGGCCTTCCCCTCCCCCGCCGTTCAGGCCCCCCCCCCACACCCGCCCAGCGGCCCTTCTCCATGACCCATTACAGAGGACGGCCTGATGTTACTGATAACACAAGGCAAATGCTGCAGGCTACCAAACGCAAAGCCTGGACAAGCGTTCAGATGATCAGGACCACCTCTTATAATAGGGTTAGACTTGCCCCTCCAAATTTTTACTTAAACCCTTAGACTATGAGGGGTGTCCAACCCCTCTGTTTAATCTTAATCATGTTTTTATAAATGTTTTTTCCCTTCGAAACCATTTTCCATCACAGACTAAATTGGCACATATCCGGCCCATGCACCATTTCTGAAAACACCACACACTAGAAAGAGTTTTTGGTTGGATCGGAATTTTCTGGTCGGTTATTCAGTGCGTGGGGCACCAGGATGGGGGGCACCAGGACGGGGCACATGAGCAGCAGATGCAGAATTTTCAGAGACATGACTGGTCATACCATTAGTGCTGGATGCTGGAGGGGTGCGGTGGGAGGTCCAGGCAGAAGGCTCCCCCCAGCCTACACTGGTGGCGGCAGCCACTCGGAGGAGGTAGAGGGTGTCGGGTTGAAGCCCCTCGAGGAGGCGCTGGGTCTGGTCACCTGGCAGCTCCAGCTGGGTGACGGTGCCGTCAGTGGCCGTGCGTAGGGACAACCGGTAGGCTGAGACACGACCGCGGCTGAGCTTGGCTGTGAGCGGCTGCCAGGACACCTGGATGTCTGTGGGACTGCGGCTGAGCAGGTTGAGCTCCGGAGCATGGAGAGGCACTGCAGGGGAAGAACGGGGCCACGGTGAGGGGAGCAGGACCGCGGGAGAGGCACGGGGCCATGGAGATGGGAGCGGGACCGCGGGAGAGGCACGGGGCCACGATAAGGGGAGCGGGACCGCGGGAGAGGCACGGGGCCACGATAAGGGGAGAGGAACCGCGGGAGAGGCACGGGGCCACGATAAGGGGAGAGGAACCGCGGTAGAGGCACGGGGCCACGATAAGGGGAGAGGAACCGCGGGAGAGGCACGGGGCCACGATAAGGGGAGCGGGACCGCGGGAGAGGCACGGGGCCACGGTGCGGGGAGCGGAACCGCGGGAGAGGCACAGGGCCACGATAAGGGGAGTGGAACCACGGGAGAGGCACGGGGCCACGATAAGGGGAGAGGAACCGCGGGAGAGGCACGGGGCCACGATAAGGGGAGTGGAACCGCGGGAGAGGCACGGGGCCACGATAAGGGGAGCTGTATGAATTCGATGAATCCTTATGTTTATTAATTCAGTTAGCAGAGCACGCCACATGCTACTGTTTTTGTTAAATCATGGAAGCGATAAACACTGAAGTGGCGGTGAAGAAAGGGACAGCTCAACAGCTGTAGCATCTTTTAAAAGAGATACTGTGGATAAATAAGGTAAAATGGTACCAGTTTTTACGTCAGTGGAAAACCAACACCTTGAAGTACCGTACTTTTGGTACAATGTCCTCAAAGCAGGGATGCTTGATATATCAATTAACATATCAGTATATGTCAATATTTGTTAAAAATCCAATAAAGTTTAGCAGATATTCAAAGCTAGAAGCACCAACACTAAATACACAAGTAATAAAATAATGGAGATGATTGCATTACAGTGAGTGAATGGTGTGTGCATGTGCCCTGTGATGGGTTGGCACCTAATCCTAGGTTGTTCCCTGCCTTGCATCTGTAGGCTCTGGGATAGACCCTGAATTGGACAAGCGGGTACAGATGACAGATGGATAGATGGAAAGTTGGATGCGTCGGATGATCAGCCATTTTCCCTAGTGGAGTACGAAGGATTTTACCAGCTCATTTCGCCACATTTAGTCGGCTGTTGCTATTGGTGACAAAAATGATCAGATATCAGTATCTGTCAAAATTTCCACATTCCTCATATGATTAAGCTGAATCAAGCTGTCAGTTCTGGAGCCTTAATCGGGTCCCTCCTGAGACGTGCAGACACAGAAGCTGCAGGAGTCGCGCCTACTCACCGTCCTCCAGGGTGCGCTGGATCACATGGTCGGACATGCGGCTGGCTCCATTGGGCATGTAGGCCACGATGTAAAAGGTATAGTTGTGAGCCGCCTCCAGGTCATCGATGATGTAGCGAGTCGTGTCGTTGCCAATGACAACCTGGTATTCCTCATTGTTCATCCCTGGTTTGACCGAAGGGGTCGACGGTTCGACAGAGAAACAAAATCGCTATCTGTTAGCATTACAGCCATGATAGTACAGCCATTGTCCAGAACCGTTCGGGCAAACCTAGAGAAATGGATCGGCTCAGTTTTCGATGGAACACAGAGCTCACAGGAAAACTGTTCTGTGACACCATAAAAATATTAAGTAGGCCTTTGTCTGCCTGTGAAAGAGCAAAGGTACAACTCCTGATAGAAGCTGTCCACACTCCCAGTCACAGCTCGGGTAGGCACGGCATATACTTCCACGGTTCTTAATCTGAAAGCGTCGCAATTTCACTCAAAAACAAACCTCACAGTCACAATTTTCAATTCACATGCATTTACTGCGTGAAAAGGGCCCCGAACTCCTGCGTCCAGCTGGCAAAATGCCCTGCATCCTGTTAATCTCCGATTAAAACACTAAGGCACAACAAAAGGGCCCAAGTCCTCTACGGCAGTTTGAGGGGCCCGTCAGCAGTCGTATGCTTTCTGAGCAATTTCCAAGGAGGGGCACCAAGAAAGAGAATGTCAACTTAATCAAACTCGCACCTCCCCCAACTTTGCCAGAACGCGAAAGCCAAGTCTCCAGAATGATGCTTTCCCACATGGCTGAATGTGTGATAGCACTTTAATTAGTACATACTGGAGGCGACACAAAAGACCTACTTCCAAGTTCACTGAATGGCGATTCCAATTTCTGACCTGGTACACAAGACCCTTGAGGGTAAACAGAAAAGGTCTTGTTCCTGGATTGAAAGGGCCGGTGGGCTCCGGAGGAGGCTCTAAGGAGAGACGGAAAAACCGGAGACGCGGCTCCCCCATCCACCGGGACGCCAGCGCCGCTAAAGCCTCCGCACGGCCCGCCAGCGCTGGAGTAGCGCACTCCAAGATGCACACTAATTAGCCTGTCCTTTCTTTAGCCTCTCATTAATTTCCATCCTTCTGCATTCATGACCCTCGGGCTCAGGATGTAACGTCGGGTCGGTGCTGTCAATCTCAAACGACCAGCTATTCAAGGAAATCACCCAGAGAGAGTCACTGCCATCTTAACCCAGAAGGATGGAAGTTATTCAGACAGCAAAGGGCAGGATGTCTCAGCTGCAGGTTCCCCCTTTGTTTCCGGGAGCCCCTGCATGGGGGACCAGACCCGCACGCCAGCAGGTGTCCCCTTGGTTGCTCACTCTTGCTTTTTCCCCCCCCCCTGACTCGCTGCGATGAAGCATCTTAACATCGAGCGTCCAGGAGGTTGAAGGGTTAGGCGTGTCACAGTGCTGCTTCGATAACTGCCGAATCAGCAGGGCTCACAGAACTCACAAAAGCAGCAACAGACTTTAAAAACATTCCTTGGAAATAAGGAATCTGAGCAAGATGTAGACCAGAGACTCAGCATCCCAAACTAGGCTTTTTAAAAGCCGTGAACTCCGACCCACGTAATCCAGATAAAATCAATATTAAGCATTTATATTACTACAAATACTGCATATGACAGAGAGGGGCGTCGGGGGGGCATGGATACCCTGGCAGATTCAAGGGGTCCGGAACTTTATAGGGGGTCCTGAGCACAAGAAAATTACACATTATACCTCCACTCTGCAAATTCGAGCATGAGGGACCCAGACTGGAAGGAGCGGCCCTATCAGAGGTTCAAGGCATTATTCTATCAGAGGGCCCAGATTTTTTATCTACGCCCCTGAGGACAGAAATGATTTCACTGCCATCTTGACAGAATGTCAGGCTCTGGGCCAATCTCGCGTCCTCCACCCTGGTCTTTGGCTCACCTTCAGAATTCATGTAGTGCACGGAGTAGGCGATGACGCGGTCAGCGTTGTACAGCGGCCGGTCCCAGGCCAGCAGGATGGCTGAGCTGGACACAGTGTCGGCTCGCACGTCCCTCGGGGCGCTGGGCCGGTCCTCGGACAGAACCACGATGAGCCTGGCCGTGGCCAGTACCGAGCCCCGCTCGTTCTCCGCCAGGCACTGGTAAATGGCGTCGTCCTCCGGGGTGATCTGGTTGATGACCAGCTTGCTGTATTCCGAGACAAAGACTCCTTCAGCTCTCATATTAAGACTCCTGACGATGGATTTCTTGTCGCTCGCATGGGACAGACTTATCAGGGGATGTATTTCTGGGTCAGCTTATTTGAAGAGAGACCCCAACAGGACCAGGCTCTCACCTGCTATACATCTTAATCCGGCCGTTGGAGTGCATCTCTGCCCCGTTCTTCAACCAGGTGATACTGGGCTGGGGCACCCCCTCCGCCTGGCAGCTGAAGCGGGCCGTGCCAGCCCGCGGCCGGGTCAGGCTCTCCGGCCACTGCACCAGAGAGGGGGGCGCTGAAAATCCGGGATGGGGGCAAATTCAGTCAGTCTGATTAACAGCTAGCACTTCCCTTTACCCTTCACCTATAAGCTAACAAGTAATACGACCCACAATACAACCAACCAACCAAAACAAGCATGCATGCATACATACTGTACACAGATACATTTCAATGGGCTTACGGGTCTTACCGAGAACAGTGAGGTTTGCCATAGCAACGGTGTAGTTGCGGGTGCCCGGGGTAGTGGCTCTGCACACGTACACACCGGCGTGCCGGGGCCTCACGTCTGTGATGATGAGGTTCCCAGCACCCAGCACCCGAGTGCTGAACACATCCATGGGCTTGTGGTCTGCCCGGCTCCAGGAGACGATGGGGCGCGGCTGCCCGGTGGCCAGGCACTCGAGCACGGCGGTGGCGTGCAGGGAGAGCGTCAGGTTCTGGGGCCCGGCTATGATGTGGGGCCCCAGTACAAGCCTGGACAGCAGGACTGCGGGAAGATGCTACATTCATGTCATGGGATTCATCAGAGGACACGACGGAAACATTCAACCTGTTTCTTGCGCACCTGGCTTAACTGTGAGCATTGCCTCCGTACTCCAGCGGCGACCCGCAATGTTGGTGGCCACGCAGCGGTACTTCCCAGAATCCCCTGCTTCTACTCCATGAATCTGCAGAACTCCACTGGGCAATACCGTAATCCTAAAGACGACGAGATGAGGGCTTACTGACTATGGCGGTTGTAATTAAGAGCATATTTCCTGTAATTAAGAGCATATAAGGACATACATACTGATACACCTTAATAAAACAATGATTTTCTGGAAAAATGAGAAGCTTAATCATATGCATGGGCTTGGATGAGATACCTGTCTGTGAGTGGGGGCACGGGGGCTTCATTCAGCTCCCAGGTGATGGCGGCTGGCGGGTGGGCAGTGACCTTGCAGCTGAACCTGGCCACGGAGCCTTCCATGAGCATGGCAGGTGAGGGCTGCCTCACAAAGGTGGAGATACCTGGGCCATAAGCAGACAGTTCAGGTCAGCGGGCAGCTTCCGCTCAAACCCAAGGACACGCACCTCAGCACGATGGTTTTCAATGAGGGCTCCCTGCCTTTTGATTTCTGTGGACTGGTTTACGTCCTACCAAGATTTCATGCACCCATGAAACAGCCCGGGGGGGAGTTGTGGGTGGATTGACTGGCGCGTTCAAAAGTTTAACCATTTTCATTTTTCCAGATGACATGTGAACAGAGTGCACAAATAATACATTGTTTATTTCTGGAAATTAACCAACCTCTCCGCAAAACCCCACCCTAACGCGGCTCGGTGGAATACTGACCACAGGAAGCCCCTCCCTCAGAAGCAGCACATCTCAGATGTTACTCAAAGCCAAACATTACAAATACAGTCTACATTTCTGCAGAGGACTGGCATGAAAGCAGTTCTCCTGTTACAGACATAAGGACTCTCCATTCATCACCCACAAAACACACACACATATATAACAATAAAAACTTCATCTCTCTTCAGGGCTGTAAAAATTACCTGATACCTCAGATCAATTCACATTCAAAACCCAAGAAAGAAAGCAATCAGAAAATCAATGCCAGCCTTTGGAATTAAAACTCACACCCCCATCCTTCTCTACGGACAATTCAATGAGTGTTACCTAGCTGGAGTTGAGAGTGTTGATGAATTAATTGTGTTTTTCCAGGAGAAGTGCCTGAAAAAAAATGAGCTAAAACAGAGAATGATGATGATCTGGTGAGTCGCTAAAATCCAAAGCACTTTCCGAAGCAGGTTTATCTCAAAAAGTGATTTTGGGGGAAAAAGCCATTTTGGATTTTTGGACCATCATTTTCTTTCAGCAGAAATCTATGACGATTAGGGGGAGGGGGGTAAATCCGGATCATTTACTATTATCCCCCCATCAATAGACACTTCTATATAAGGACCTTTGAGATCTTGAAAAGCACTATATAAATAAGATGCATTATTATTGTTATTAGAAAGACGTTTTGAATAATCGCCCTGATTAAATCCATTCAAATTACAACAAAAAAAGCGGCTGACATCTTCCATTCTTTGCATTTTGGAACAGACCTTTAAACCGAATTACTTTCCAGTGTCCAGAAATACGGATCTGAGGTACCGGGAACCGGAAACTGGACTGTCAGATATTGGTCGGCCAGCACGAAAAGCCAACATGACCACAGAAAAGGAATATGCTAGTATGTCTGTTATTTGTTTATTTTTTTTACCTGGCACAGGCTCTCACACGTGTACGGAAGCGGACATTAGAGGGAAGGGACTGTGACATATTACCATTTAAAGGGAGTTATTTACACATAGAATAATCACACCACTGTCTGATTATACTGACATTTAATATTAGTATTTCAGAAGTGTTGACATCTGCACTCTAAAATTTTGAGTAGGGCTGGGCGATATATCGATATTATATCCTGCATGTGCATTCACCAGGACTTCAGACGACAGACGAAGCATTTGGCCAGGCGCCAGCTTTTCGGTGATATACGAACATATAATTTACAGCCATAATAGTGGCTTAAATGGCCATATGGCTTAAATATTAATACTACGGTTTGGTATACTATGGTTTGGTATACCTCAGTGCAATATGCACTGAAGTCGTGGTGAAGAAGAGCAGCCATACTACTAAACTGCTTCACAAATTGTGGACGTAAATAAATGTCCGTATAGCACCGAAAAGTGAGGATCAGGGAGCAG